TTCCTGCTCCCCCTTCAATCTCCTTTCACAGTGGGAGATCTCCCCTAGAGGGCCTAATTGTAGGCTCTCAAAGGGCTCAGACTTCCACTCCAAGGGGTTTAGGACTCAGACACTCATAAAGTCCCTGCAGGACCACTGTAGACCCAGAAATAGAGACCGGGTCGCACCTTCACAGCAAAAAAGTTTCATGGGACAGTCAACTCTGGAGTGGGTACCCAGGAGTGGCAAGGCCAGTGCCACTCACCTCTTCATCAAGGGATAAAGCTGGGTGAGAATGGGGTTGGGGGAGATGTTTGAGGCCCCATTGTTTTTGAAGAGCCCTGAGAATCCAGCCTGGCCCCCCACAGACATGACACTGGCCCTGAGGTGGTGAAATGTGCAAGATGACCCTGGTGAACCCACCCGCAGAGACATCCATCTCTGAAAGAATAGACACACAGCCTTATAGAGATGCAAACAGGTGCACAGGCAAATACTAAGCATGCGTGCGTGCTCACACACACACACACATACACGAAGACACATACAATTAGAGAATTATTGTCGACAAATTCAAGCAACCCCCATATCCCAGCCACCAACTTCCAGAATCCACAAGGGGATTGTGCTCCGGGGGATCACAGCCCCAGAAGTCTCCCTAAAGGCATTGTCTTCCCCTCCCTCACCCCTCTGTCCGGGGATGGCTTTTGTGCACTTTCATCCTCTCCTCCTGTTCAGGTGCAGAGTGGGAGTTGGGAGGGGGCATGGGGAAGTCATTCTGAGTTCTTATTATTGCCCAGCCACCAAGTGGGGTCCTGGGGAATGTCCACAGAGACAGCACAGCCCCACAGCAATAGTTGCTGGATTTCCTAATTGGAACCATCTCTCTGCTCGAGTCTCAAAGAGTACTTAGGAAAAAAGAGGAGGAAAGCCATGGTATTATAATTCTCTCAGACTTGCCAGCGATGCCGAGGAGAAGAGGAATGCTGGGCTGTAGAGCCGGCTTGTTAGGAGGGGGTTAGGACAGAGAAGGGTTAGCAACCATCTTTGCCAGTCACGGTCCAATCAGAGGACATTCTTTCATCTGCCTCAGGTGGACTTTTAATTCTGGCCCTAGACTGAGCCCTGATCTAGTCCTTGGTTTCACCGGTAACCCTTACCCAAAACAGACCCCTGAGGCTGGTCACAGATTGACCCTATCCCTGACTCCTGACTTAACTGCCATCCCAGTCCCATTAAGCAACAGCCAACCTCACCTTTGGTCCAAAGAATGTGGCTGGCCCCCTGTGCACTAGCTCAGAGATGGCTCTGGGAGTGGACTGTAGGACAGAATATTTTTCTCACTCCTGCCTGAGAATCAACTACCCGTTCTCCCAGGAGCATCCCCCTGGCTGTAGCTAATATCCTAGGAACTCCAGGACACCCCCTGCCTACAACCCTTTTCCAGGAGGCTGAGGGCACCCCAGGGCTTTGACTCATGCTTGCAGTGCTCTGAAACCTTGACTCGCAGCTTGCCTCCCGTGTTTCAGGCACCTTGAAATCAAAACGGACTGGGAGGTCTGTTGTGGGAATGCTGATTCAAAGGGAGTTCTGCACGAATGAACTCTGCAGAGCTTGGCAGCGGGGACTAGGAGGATATGGAGGACAGGCCTCAGGCACTCTAGGAACATGCAGACCATGGGCAGGGCACAGCCTCTTCCTGAGCTCGGGAAACACCCATCCACAGGGGTAGATCTACTGAGAGTCCTGCTCCACATCGGGCACAAAGCTCCTCAACAGAGTCCTGTCTCTTCTACAGCTACTGTTTTATTTAAGCTCCACAACAGCCCTGTGAGGTAACACTATTTTTAGATATTAGATTTGCATACTATTTGTACTGTTGAGAAAACTGAGGCCCAGAGTGCCCTCCCCCCACTGTCATTGTATTGTCCCAGCCCCACTCCCCCAGGCAAGCACAGGTGAGACGTGAGATCCTGGCTGACATGGCGACTGTCCTTTGTTCAGTGTTCATGCTTCTGACCATTAAAGTTGACAACAGAAGGAGTCGTCAGTTTTATACTTAATTTTGCATAGTTTGGGCACCAAATTTTTTAAACGTTCTTCTCTCTAGAACTACCTGCACTTCTTCCAACTAAAGCCAAAGGGAAAAGGGTAAAAAAAGCCCAGGCTGACAGTGGGGGTGGCCCCTCGATCCTACCAGCCAGCGCTCAGAGAGCACAGACTGGGAGGCGGTGGGCAGGAAGCAGGGCTGGTATTCAGGATCTTCCCAACATCCCATCTGAATCTTGATAGTCTGGC